AGGCAATATTATCGCTTATCGCAATAATTTATGAGACAATTAATCGACCAGCAAAATTTGTTATCGTGACAGGCCTACTGTAGGCATATTTTTGTTCTTTCATCTCTTGTGGCTCTCAGGACCTGCAGTTTCCTCTCAGATACCCCAGAATGCAGATGGCACAGCCAAGTTTCCATAGATTTCTAGAAAGCTAAAGGTTCTGTCATGGAAATCTTTATTTTACATAGACAGAAACACGAGATCCCAGAACAAAGTACTCCGTGAAAGCTCAATCAGGATTTATTGCAATATGCAAGACACATATCATTTCACACAGGCAGTGGTACAGAATGTGTGCACCGAGGCAGTTTCAAATACACACATTTATACAGAATATTATCAAGACAGACAATGAACATCTCTCTTGGTGCTAAAACTGGGCCAAGGAGAGAATGATGTTGGATAAAACMGCAACAAGAATGATTACTTCTAACAGATATTGTCTTGATCTTAAAACTCTCTGTCCGAGAGAAAACAGAAGATAAAGAGTAAAATCATAAAACATGATGACATTTAAAGTAAAGCAAAAGAGGTCACTGACTCTTGGCCTGAGAAGAAATGTAGGGCTTTAAGAGTAATTTATTTTTTCAAGACAGTTCTTTTTAACTTGTCAAACTTCCTACATAGAAATACACGTTGGACCATCRKTGCAGCTGCTGTTTGTTCGAGGCTYACATTTTAGTCTGCGTTTATGCCTGCCTCGTTAACGTGGCGGATGGGGAGTGCCGGACAGATGTGAGGTCACCGTGGTCGCGACACTGGCAGCAGCTTTGACACTATTCAGCGTTTTACTTGGCTTAGATTGAYGTTCAGCCAGCAGCTGCATTGGGTTTCCTCTTCCAGTCAATGAGAAATGGTTTTCCTGCCGTTCAGCTCTGCAGGCACGTCGACACGTCCGCCCCCTGAACAGGCAGTCGCTGAGCGAGCTGATGAACGGACCGATCAGGAGGAAACTGGCCGTYGTACCTGAGAACGTCACCTGGGGAGGTACGGTGTGTGGAGCTGGGTGGTTTCAGGTGGCTTCTCGGTGAATCTCCTGAGCCTTTTTGCGTGTGCGTGTCCAGGTCAGGCAGAGGCGGTGTTCAGCTACATGGCAGGAGACTTCATGAAGCCGGTGGTGGATGTAGTTGACCAGCTGTTGGCAGCTGGGGTCAACGTGACRGTGTACAACGGTCAGCTGGATCTCATCGTGGACACCATGGGTAGGTCAGCGTCTGCGGTAAAGGCTTTTATAAAAAAAAAAAAACGTTGTACACCACTTCCTGTTCTTCCAGGTCAGGAGAGGTGGGTGAACCAGCTGAAGTGGGAGGGGCTTCCTACTTTCAGCAAGCTGAGGTGGACCTCCCTGGATGACCCGGCCTCCCCAGGTGTAACTGGAGCTTTTGTTAAGACTTACAAGAACTTTGCCTTCTACTGGATCCTCAGAGCCGGTCACATGGTAAAGCCCAGACAACAACCAGAACATTCACACTGGGGGACCTACAACACATCAGTTCACGATTCAACGATTGATGAATCAATTACATCAAGGCAAAATGAAAATCAACAGGCCTCGTGCAAGAACCGTTCGTACACACAGATTTGTTCTTAAGTTGTGCGTACGAGTGATTTAGGAG